GTATATCTCACTGATTTTCTTTTTCTTTTTTTTTGGTACCGGGGATCGAATTCAGGACCTTGTGCTTTCGAGCCAGGTGCTGGAACCACTCAGCTAAATCCCCGGCTATCTCACTGATTTTCTACTTGCTGAATGTGGAAAATACTGTGGGCATACTGAAGTCACCAACTTAATGGTAGATTAATTTATTCCTCCATGCAGTTCTATCACTTTTTGCCTAATATATCTTTATACTCTTTTTGGGTACGTATACATTAAGGATTGCTATTTCCTCTCGGAGTATTGGTCTCTTTTTATCATTATAGAATGTCTCTTTTTATCCTTGATCATTTTCCTTGCTGTTAAGTATGCTTTGTCTGAAATTAATATTATGACTCTAAGTTTTCTTTGATTAGTGTTTGCATGATTTATCTTTCTCATCCCTTTTCTACCTGTCTTTTTTTTTTTTTTGCCTTCATATTTGCAGTGCATTTCTTATAGACAATAAATAGTTGGGTCTTATTTTTTTATCCACTCTTGAGTCTTGGTATTTTAACTCATGTATTTAGAGCATTCACTATTTATGTAATATACTAGGTAAATATCTTATGTATTATTATTTACATTAATATCTACCATATTTGTCATGTTTTGTGTTCACTGTCTCTTTTTTGTTTCTTCTTTTTTTTAACTTCCAGTCTTTTTCTGCTTTCTCTGATTTTAATTGAACACTTTACATGATTCTATTTTCTCTCCTCTCAGCATATCAATTATATTTTTATTTAAAAATTTATTGATTTTCCTACTATTTGAGACATACATTTACAACTAATCCTAAGTCCATTTTCAAGTAACACTTCGCTACTTCACAGGTCATACAAGTACCTTTTAGCTGACTACTCCCAACAATCCCTCCTATCCCTTATAACATTGGTGTCATTTGTTTCATATATCCATAAGCTATAATCATGGAATGCATTTGCTATTACTATTTTGAACAAAACTGTTATCTTATTAATCATAAATAGAATAATTTTCTTTTACCTTCCTTCTCTAATTCCTTCTCTAATTTACTACCTTTGTGAATGTTGATCTACGTTTCTGACTTGTATGAAGTTCCTCTTCTCTGAAGAACTGCTGTTAACACTTCTTCCAAGACAGATCTCCTGGAAGCAATGAATTCCTTCAATTTTTATTTGTCTTAGAGTTGTTCTTTTTTCCCTTTTTTTTGTTGTTGTTGCTTTTTGTTGTTGTTTTTGTTGGTATAAGGACTAAACCCAGGGGCACTATGCCACTGAGCTACGTCCCTATCACTTTTTTTATTTTCAGACAGGGTCTCACTAAATTTTCCAGGTGGGACTTAAACTTGTCATTCTCCTGCCTTATCTTCCCAAAGTGCTGTGTTATAGGAATGTGCCATCATACCCAGATTCTACTTCATTTTTGAAAGATAATTTCACTGGACACAGAATTCTAGCTTGTTTTTATAACACCAATTTTCATCAGAAACCTAGGACTTGAATAGAGACCAGAGCATATAGTGTTCCCTAATTTAGCATTTGGTCATTTTGTGGTTGAGTCAGTACTAGAATCTGGCTAGATCAGTTGCTACCCTCCTGGACCCTGATTCTGTTACACAACACCCTTTTCTTAATGTCAGATATGCAGATTCCCTGCCTGATTATGATAATTGTCTTATCTCAGTTTCATGATCAGTGCAGTCTCAGTACTCCATAGCTATCTGTCCTACTCTGATGCATTTGTAGGTTTTGCCTGTGAAAAACATAATTGCAACAAATAGGAATTGGAATGATCTAGAAATATAGCTTGTTACCATGGAAGCAGACATGTGCCAATGGAAGTACTCTAAGTAGGTAAGAATAACATTCTGAAAAATCTAGAGAAAATAAATCAATATATCTAAAAGCTTATGAAACTCAGCAGGGGTTACTATTTCTGCTCTGTGTCAAGATGTTTACTTCAAGTGAGGATGAGCTTAACTCCCTAGCATTTTCTCTCTAGAAGCTAGAAAAAAAAGAGTGGCTTCAAGTGAAATCAATGGTCATGACAGACACAGAATCAAGGCTTAGGGGTTCATGTTAAAAATCCTAAAAATTATTATTATTTTTTTTTTTTGGTACCTGGGATCGAACTCAGGTCCTTGTGCTCGCAAGGCAGGCAGGAGAACCACTGAGCTAAATCCCTGTCCCAAAACTCCTAAAAATTATTTATTGGCCATGATGAACTATGTTAGAACAAAAAGAAACCCCTATATTGCTGAGTTTAGCCCTCTGTGGGCAATGTGATGCACTCTAATGTCAACCTAGTATATACTTTGTACATCTTCTTCCACTGCCCCAAGCGGTACGGCAAATGTTTACTAACCAGAAGCTCTTTGAGAGCTCTTCTATGACCTAAGATGAAGTGGAAAAAGTACTTTGAGCCTCTATTTCACTAAGTGCTCTTCATGCCATGGCTATCTGGGGGGAGGGGTGAAGAAAATTTTATCTAGCTCCTCATCTCACATTGTGCACCCAAATCTATGCCAGATTATAGATTTTAAAATAAAAATGAAATAAAGAACTAGAAAAATATAGGTACTTATATAATATTATGTTAAGGAGGGCCTAAGGTAGCACAACACTAAAGGAGTAAGTAACCATATAGGAAAAGATTATTAGGTTTAATTACATATAAGATAAGCCTTTTACCGTCTTTGATCCAGCAGTACCATTTTTAATGATGCATTCTAAAAACAAATCTTTGGACAAGTATATAAAAATGTACACTTGTAAAAACATTAACTATACCATTGCTTATAATAATAAAAAATTAGAAACAACCTAAATGTCCATCAAAAATTATTAAATAGATATTGATACATTCACATTAAAAATGACAATGTAGAAATATTCTTGACATAGAAAAGGGTTATTAAACATTTTGAATCTGGTCCCATTTTGTAAAACTACATATACATAGAGAATTGTTAATAGTGATTATTTATGGGTACTTTAATGAGCTATTTTTCCTTTTGTTCCTCATTTTATGTACTATATACATGTGATGCATATGTCATATAAACGTATACCAATGTGAGGTTTATCTGGTATAAAAATATCCCTCTTTTCACCTGTGCATTTAAGTCAAACATCCTCCAGGAAGTTCTTTTTCCTCAACTAGCCAGAATAATCCTTGAAGTCCCTTTCTTTAGTATCTTTCTATCCAACTGTAATTTCTTTGAGGATGGAGTTGTGTTTCACTATTGACTTCTACCTTCCCTAGGCAGTCAGTAAAGATTGGTTGGCTGGCTATGGTTTGATTTCCTCAAACCTCGCCTTGAAGTTTGATATAGCCATGCTAACCCTTAACCAGATGAAATGGCCTGAACCTTGGCCAAGACTAGCACACCTTGGCTATCAGGGCAGGGTGGCAACAACAACTGTCATTCTGCTATTCTTGCTGCTGTCTGACACTGAGGTAGCTCACTGGTTGACTGGTAGCTTGCTGGAGGGGCTGGACCCTTTGTGTAAGTCCTTCCCCAAACAGCTTCCTTGCTCAAGGAAGAGGGGATTCTCAGGTTGATCTGCTGCCTCTTAGTGGTGCCTGTATAGGTGTGCTTCCCTGCCAAACCTCCAGGTACATTCTCAAGAACTCTCAATGCTGTTAAATACATAAAAGATGGGTAGCAAGAAGAAAAGGACTGAGGGAAGGGGCTGGGATATAGTTCAACACTGAGAGCTTGCCTAGAATACATAAGGCCCTGGGTTCTGTCTCCAGCCCCCCTCCACACACACATACAAAATTCTAGGAAGAGAAAAAAGGAGAAAAAAGAACTATATGAGAATGGAGATTCGTGGCCTTCAGTGCAGAGGGTTGCTCAACTCAACTTGAAACATACAGTACCTACTATTGCATATGATACCTGATCCTACACACAATACCTACTATGGTACGTAAACTGCTTTGCCAGGAAGCTAGCACAGACATTGGATTTTTAAGGGGCTTGTGCAGTTCTGATGTCCAGGCTAGAGATTTTACTGACCCCTAATAGATCCTGCTCTCATAAGTAACAATCATTCCAGGCTTTATAAACTATATAATAATATACAACTCTTTGGTGTTCTTTTTGTAAGCTCCTGAGGCCATGAACGGTGGTTTAATGTTGTACAATATTGTCTTCATAGGAGTTTGGAACATATTTTAAATACCTGTATCTAAAGAAAGTCAGATCCATCTACAGAATGGAGAAAATTGAGTCACTAGGAGGGAAAAAAAAAACTGTCTGGGGTCGGGGATTTAGCTCAGTGGTTCCATCACCTGCCTCCCAAGCGCAAGGTCCTGAGTTCAATTCCCATCCCTGGTACCAAAAAAAAAAGAAAAAAGAAAAGAAAATGCTTGTGATTTCACGACTGATGAAATTGTTGACATTTTCTTTAAAGCATCCTTTAAGTTATAATACATAACAATGGGAGTACTTGTGGCCCCCATGTGAGCGTATTATGGTCATACTGTTTTCATAGCTAACAAGTCAAATCATGATAAGGAAGTGACTAAGCAGCAAACTGCTGCTGCTCTCCTCTTTCCATGCAAACAACCCTTTTTCCTTTCCAGTTGCATCACAGGAGACTTCATATCAGATCCTCACCTGAATGTATGACTCTTCAACCTCAGGACTCGCAGAGTAAATGGAATGCCGTCCTAAGGTTGTTGAGTTGTGCATTTCTGGGCATTTCGTCTCTACAGGGAAGTACCAATTTACTTCACCCCAAACACTGATACTGAAAGATTTTTCTCTCTAGAAAAGAACCTTCCTTGTAATTTTTGTGACCTCAACAGTCAAGAAACAGACTTGGGGAGACTTGATAGCTGGGAAATACCTTGCCAAAAACCTGACCCATGGCTGTGAGGCACCCTTAAATTTGTAGTATTTTGAGGGTTCCTCCTAGTAACTTAGAGAAGAAACATTTTCTGTTAATTTCCAGTGATTTAATTTTCCATTTTCTTTTTTTTCCTAATAGGGCCAGTCAAAAACAAGAAAAAGGGTAAGTTATTTCTAAAACTAGAAGACAAAAATTTTTTTTAAAATTAATTTATTTCAACATTGGTTGCCCTTTATTTTACTCAGTCATACATGATCTGCTTGGGTATTGTAGTTTCCAAAGAACAAGGAATTCTTCTTTAGTGATGATCCATGAAAAGTAGGATTGACTCTATTAACATACAAAAATTACTTTTGCTTTTTTTCTTATTCCTTCTGATATACAACTGAACTTCTATCTCTTTCCATCACTCTTCCTTACTCTTTCCCCTGCTTTTTCTTTTCTCCTTTTTTCCTTTCTTTATCAAATCAGTGATCAGGTGTGAATGAAGGCTGGAGACAGCTTATAAGAAAAAGGCATTGCCTATGGAAAGATATCAATTACTTCATTTCTTGGCCTAAAAGCTATCCTTAGTCAATTTTCCCAATACTCAGAGAAGGTATTTCTCACTTTAGGAATTTAATATAATTTTTTCTAATTTTTTCTGCATTGTTACTGTAGTCCTTTAGTCTTTTTAAAGAAGCTTCTATTTGGGTAGCTCCACTGGGCTGTTGCTGAGTAAGTCTCCACTGCACCTGAGATGGGACTGACCAAGGGCTTCTACAAGTGCTCACTTACATGAAAAGTAGAGAATCCAAAGGCAGAACAGCGTCCAAGGACAGGACTAGGCGATAGGCCTACTCCTTAAAACCAAAAGAACCAATAGTGAAACCAACCAGTTTACGTAACTATTTGTTTCTGGGTTCCAACCTGGGAAGAAACTAATAATTTTTCATTAAAATTATTTAAGTGAAATGATTCTGTCTGTTAAGATTTATGGAGCTTTCCAGAATAGGTTATCGACCTAAGACTAGGCACGAATGATTAACTGCAGGTGCAGCTTGCCACTTCTCTGACCACTAGGATACTCTGGTGCCTTATGGAAAACTTGTGTCCCTATTGTAAAGAAGCTGAGAAGTGGCCTGGCCTCCTGAGGCCTTGAGCTGAATAAGGTTACAAAATATCCACAGAGCTGAAATCAGTGAGGAACTTTTTCTTTGGGGCCTGAGCATGCACCACCAAGGCAGTCTGTTTTTTAAGGAAGTAAATTTGATTTTCAAGCATTTAGTCTTAACTCTTGTCGCATCCCTTTAAGAGAGAAATTATAACTCAGATCATTGCCCAGCACTGCTACCCTGTATATGAGACATTATTGAGAAAAGGATGCACATAGCCTTAAACATTCACTTTGATTTAGAAACCATTTAATATGGATTTTCTTGACATGGTGAATAAGCACATGCCTGAAGAGGTAAATTCAGTTGTTCACTAAATTTTCACCTTTTAATGGAATTGTCCTACTCCCACAACTAATTCTCTCTCTTCCTCTCCCTCTCCATCTCCCTCTCCCTCTGTCTTTCTTAATGTGTTTCTCTCTTGCACTTGCACACACTTGTGCTCTCTCTCTCCCTCTCTCTCATGCATGTACTCTCTCCCTGTTTCTCTCTTGCATGCACACACTTGCTCTCATTCTCTCTCTCTCTGTCTCAGCATTTGAGGCTTAATTAAAAGGTTTCAGAAATGCCCCTTTGATGAAGTTAGCTTTGAAAAGAATGTGTATTCTTTCATATAAGACTAAACAGGGTAACTTTCTTTTTTTTTTTTGGTTCCGGAGATCGAACTCGGGACCTTGCACTTGCGAGGCAGGCGGCAGAACCACTGAGCTAAATCCCCAGCCCTAAACAGGGTAACTTTCTAAGTACAAATCTCTCTGGACTTTTTTTTTATCATGCAGTGTTCTATTAAAGAAAGTTAGGAAATCTGCAGAAGGAATTCAATCCTCTAAAGCCATGCTTTTGGTCCAGAGGTCATTTTCTACCTGCTCTTCTCTGGGCCTAACTTTCTATACAAGTATGAGAAACATACTTGCCTGATTGCAGAGAAGCTGAAGAGGACCAACTGCAGAACTAGATCACAGCAGGAGGTTTTTATCAAATGTCTTCTAACATGTTCATAAGTGAACATTCTCTGTTTACACTGCAACCATTATTCTCTTGGACTGGAGGAATTTCTGCCTATAATTCTTCCAAAATTACATCAAGCAATTACAGGCAATTCACATTCTTGAAGCTGAAGTTTGTGCTACCCACAGAATACCCACTACCTGGAAAATCTCTGCTAGGCCTGGAAATTCTGCGACACAGGAAGGCCTAATATGCACCATCCTCTGCGTCTACTCCACCCAGAAAATAAGGTGGAGAAGCAAACCTTTCAGCCAGGCTAGGAAAGTTTTCTGCCTGCTAACGGTAAGACAGTCCTCCTTATGGAACCTCGGTCTGGAGGTAACAGAGAAATCATTGAGGCTAAGATCCTCATTTCACAGGTGGTAAAACAAAGGCTCAAGGAGAGGAAGGGATTTGCCCAAAGTGTGTCTGTGGCAGAGCTGGGGCTTACTTATCTCCTGAGTACAGATTCCTTGTTCTTTCCACTACACTAGCTAGAATTGAAACTTGGGCACTGAATAAGCTTAATTTGGAAGCTGTCCAAATCTGAAGGGAGATAGTTTCCTGTTCAGCATCTTAAAATTGGCTAGATCTAGAAACTGGGCAGATCCAATCTTTTGCTGCTAAGTGCAAGGAAAGTGCTAAAGCTTGTGCCTGCAGGTCTCTAAGGCTACAGGGACTCTCTGTGGGAGAAATACTCTCTGGACCTTCTTTTCCTTCCCCCTTAGGAAAGAGGCTCCACAAAGCAAATGTGGTTAGACATAGATAGTTGGCCTCTTGAGTGGCCTCACCATGAGGGTTTGGTTTCTTGGCTATGAAGCATTATTCTTAAAGAGGAACCTGATAAATCAGGACAGATTTCTTCTCCTGGCTGAGTCTGAGGGACAGGAAGTTGGAGTCGGTAAACAAGTGTTAAAGTGAGACTATCAAGTGTTGTATTTAAAACTAAAATATTACCTGAACTAAGAACATTGTTAGCAAATCTTTTTTAAGACTTCCATTCCTGGTTCTTCCACAAAATTGTGAGGAGGTGGTGAAGGGAGGAAGACAGCAACCTATGACCACCTGCAGCCCTTGAATGGGGCTGCACAAAGCAGAGGAAATGAACAGAAGGAGCTGGAGGCTTGGGTTCAGGACCAGAGTGAGAAGTCATGTCACATGACAACATCCTGGCTGGAATGTTGGAAGGACTGGAATATGAAGTAGGAGAGCTGAGTCTGTTCTGGAAGGATAGTAAGGAAGAAAGGGGAAGAGCTGATGGATATAATGAACAGTAAGTTCAAGAATAGGACCTCTGACCCGGGGATTTAGCTCATGGTTCCGACGCCTGCCTCGCAAGCCCAAGGTCCCAAGTTCGATCCCTGGTACAAAAAAAAAAAAAAGAATAGGGCCTCTGAAGAAAAATTCTGGGAAGTTAGATTATTTAGCCTATAAAAATGGATAGGTAACCTAATGTCTTCAAGTATATGAGAGCTTTTATATATATATGTGTATATATATATATATATATATAACAGTAACTATTCTTCTCTATCTACACAAAAAATAGAATAAAAGTTTAAATTGCCACAGGAGAGATGTCAGTTAAATATACTAAAGAACTTCCTAACCATAAGCAATGAGGGGTGATAAACATTGAACATATTACCAAGGGAGTTTGCAGAATTTCCTTTCCCAGAGACCTTTAAAATTAGAGTTGAGAGGTCAGCTGAAAACAAATCCTGCTGCCTCCTCAAGTCTCTCTACTTTGCTTCCTCTGCTTCTCTATTGTTTCTTAATGTCCTCAATCTATCTGTCTCAGTCTCTGTCTCTGTCTCTGTTTCTCTGTTTCTCCCTTCCTTCCTCCTTCCTTCTCACTTTCCATCCCTCATTTCCAACTAGCCCTGACTCCATCTGCACCCCCACCTCCTGCATATCCTGACTCCTGTAGGAATCTTCCTCAAGCTAATGGCGCCAGGTTCTCCAGCTTCCTCTGGTTATCCACATCAAGTCCACCAAACTGTCTGGTTAACATGAAAGTCCCAACTCAACAATAGCCTAATTCTAAAAAGAACCATAAAGTGACTCATACATCTGACTGCTTGGTATTTCTCATCCATTGGACTCAGCTGAAATATGACCTCCTTTTTGATGACTTCCCTGACCTCTTTAGCATTTGATCCCTATACTAGTGTAGTACTTCTACTGTCCTGTGACTGTGACTATTTCCCCACTAAAGTGAGATCCTTGAGGGCCATTTATCTCTTTATCTTCAAATCTGGCTGTGAGGGGACTATATGTGATAAAAATATCCGGCTCTTTAGCAGGAATTCTCAGAGGGCTGACTTTGTGTCATTGGAAGTTTCTAGAACTTCCAACAATATACTCCTGACAGTGTACTCTTGGCAATAAATGACTACAGATGTAACACTGACTCCTGTTTTTCAGGAAAGAAGACAGGGCCACCTGGGCCCAATGGTCCCCCAGGTCCTCCAGGACCTCCAGGACCTCAGGGACCCCCAGGGATTCCAGGGATTCCTGGAATTCCAGGAACAACTGTTATGGGACCACCCGGTCCTCCTGGTCCCCCTGGTCCTCAAGGACCCCCTGGTCTCCAAGGACCTTCTGGTGAGTTCTCCTGTCTCTTTACCCACCTAGGAACTTTATAAAATATTTTTGGAGAGCAAGAGTGGCTGACCCTAGGAGCAGTTTCAAACAATAGTGCTGGGGTTGGTGTGCAATAACAAATGCAGGTCTCCTTGCCCAGCATAGAGCTAGGAATTGGACAAGCCAATAGGCCCTGACCTGCTGTAATTTGTGTGTACCACCTGTTCTTGCCCTGTGTCGCCATTTCCATCATAATTTCTCCCTTATTCTAGGCCTCCCTATTATGGACCAGTAGTAAACTCATAAGAGCCAGAGACAGAGGCCCTGGTGGTTCATTGGTGTTCCTATGGACGATGGATTTGGTCTGCTCAGAGTCCCAGCATCTAGCTCCACATACTGATGTTTGCATGACAATAGGCTATGGGGAGGAATGTTGGGGACTGAACACAATGATAAGCCCTAAGATAGTTTCATCCCAGGAACTTTGAAGTGCCTTTCTCTTAGATGTACACAAGTAGTCACTGGTGATAAAGTAGTTGGAAATGTATGAGTCACTCAAGCTGTGGATGCAGCAAACCCAAGGACCAAGGCTATTCCTGTCCCAGAACCAAGTGCTTTTGGAACTAGATCACTGCCCTGTCACACTGCCCATTTAAATACCATTCATCCCTTTGCATCTTTCTTCGGGGCCCAAAGGACAGCAAAAATGTATAGCTGTAGATTCAAACTTGCCTAATTTTGATAGGAGTGAGACTACCTGGACTTATGTCAGTTATTTCTTTCTCCTGCTTCCATCTTATATTCTTTATAGCTGATTTTTCTAGGTCCAAAATTCAGCAGCAGGACTCAGATTCTCTAACTTGTAATTCAAACAGGGCTAAGAGTGTTACCATGGCCACAAGAGACAAGAGTTAGGCCTCCCTCTTAATCCAATCATTCCACAAATACTAATTGGGTACTTCCTGTGTACAAAAAGATATATGGTTAAGTGGTTCCTGTTCTCATACAGTATGTTCTAGAGGAGAAGGGAGACAATTAAAGAAACAAGATCTTTACAAATGACTCTCTGAAGACAACAGAAGAGGAACAGACCAGAAGAAGCAAGTGCCTTTGTCTCCTGCACACATCAGTGCCTTCTCATTGCCCTCCACTGTCACTCAGTGGGGCTTGCCTTGGGCTGTTGGCAAAAGACCACCTTCCCTCCCTCATGCTGCTCCCCCAAGATGAAGGTCAGGGATAGCAAGAAGAAAGAAGAGATGTCCTTTCCCATTCAAGAATCCTGCCTTGCACTTGGATTCTCCCTTCAGCTCTAAGCCCTGAGGAAGAAGCTTAGATAAGACTGGCTTCAGGGAGCAAGGCTCAGGGCCACTGGCTGCTGAGGTCTGGAGAAAGGGCAATAGAAAAAGAATACACTCTGATTGTACTATCTTATTTGCAGGTGCTGCTGATAAGGCTGGAACTCGAGAAAACCAGGTTGGCTGGGGATTGCTCTCCTCCTGGGGAGGAGGGAAGGCTACAGGCTTAGAGATACTATTAAGTCAGTTCCCGATGAAATTTCCTGAGGCTTTATTTTGTGAGAATGCCCTAGAGATTCTGAGGTTTTCATTCACAGCCCCCTCCTATGCCTATGAATAGGAAATATTTGTCCCAAAGCCTGTCTTTAGCTAAGGGAACCTAATCTTGCCAGAACCATTTTTCTTCCTTCCACAAGGAGAGTGAGGGTCATCACACCCTAGCTCAGTAGTCAGCAGAAATTAACTGTCAGTCGGGCCTGTTCACCTGGGCTGCCAACTCCCCAGCCACCCTGTTGGCACTCAGATGCCTGGAATCAGAGTTGAGAAGTCTAAGAATGTGTCCTTGAAAAACAGCCAAGCAGCTCCAGGCCAAGCCCAACCTGGGCTTCTCTGTTAAAGGGCTGAAGGGCTCCTCCCTAGTTTTTGAGCTTCCTAATCTGTCTCTATTGGCAGGTGCTGCTGCCTGGCCTAGCCTTGTCTCATCACAGCCACCGCACTACAGCTGTTTGGCCACAGTGATAAATCTACACAGCTGCACAGCGCTTGATGGCTTTGTGGGGCAATTTTATATCCATCACCTCATTTGATCTTCAAATGTCCCTGTGAGACAGGCCAGACAGTGATTCTTATAATCCCTGTTTTACAGTTAGGGAAATGAGGCTTAGAGGCAGTACATTTGGCTGAGGTCTCATAGCAAAGAAGTAGCAGACTCACAAAATCATATTATCCTCTAGTAGAGATACAGTCACTAACATTCTGAGACAGAGGAAAAGGATCAGGATTGGGATATTAAAGGAGACTAAAAGCCAGGGGTAAAAACACGGAAACCTGTGGCCAAGCAAGCAGCCCTGACAGTGACTACTCTATCCTTATCCTCCCAGCTGGCTGTGGTGCATCTACAGGGCCAAGGGTCAGCAATTCAAGTCAAGAATGGTAAGAATCAAAGTGGGGTTCCGCTAAAAGGAGCTTCTCCCTTCCCTCATCCTCAGCTTCAAAAAATCACCCAGTTTAGTTCCTCCCAGGCCTCTGAGGTACCCTTGGCCAAGGAGGCCATTCTCGACTCCATCTTGCCCTCTGCTGGCTGTCCTGTGTAACTGCATCAAATCCAGCTGCACCCAAATTGCGTTTAAAATCCACTGGCAAGGGAGCTGAAAGGAACTTGCAACATCATCTACCTAAGCATTCTTGAGGGTTGGAGGCTAGAGCAGAGTCACCATGGAGATATATGTAGTTTGATAAGCATTTTCACAATACAAATCGGAAAAGGCAAAACTATGTAAAATTGAATTCTTGTCTGACGGCTTTACACAGAAAATGGATAGAGGGAGCACTTCTCTCAGGGAAGGGGAGCATACTATAATCTCCAGGATAGATAGATAGATTCTAGTGTCTATCAAAAGGGAGAATATGTTTCCTGAGATGGAGAAACACTGATTGAATATAATCCCTACATTTAAAAGATGAGGAAGTAGAGTCCCTGCGAGATTATATAATACCATAATAAATCATGCTGCTTTATGTTTATGTGGAACTTAGGAGTTTCCTATGTGTTTTCTTTGTCTTCTATTTAATTTGACCCGCACAATCACCCTATGAGGTAAGTATCAGCTCCTTTTTACAGAGATGGAAATTGAAGCCCAGAGAGGTTAACTGGCCCAAGATTTCAGAGTTAAGTTTAGGGGCTGAGATTCAAAATTATACTTGCCTAACTCTTCTACTGTGCTATGGTACTTCAATTTATGCACACTCCACTGAATGATTAGGTTCATTTTTTCCCCCAAAGAGACATGAACATTCATTAAAGAACAGCATTTTGAAATAATGCCTAGTCCCCAGGGGCCCACAGTCTAAAATACATGAACCTCAGGAGCCTTTGGAAGCAGCAAGCTAGCCAAGGTGCCAGATGCTTTGGGAGCTTAGAGTGGAAGAGAGGGTTTGTGATTTCAGAAACAGTAAATGAGTGTTAAGAAGCCTGTTACACAGGGACAGCTTCTACATTAAGAGCCCGGTCAGTTCTGAACTGGCTGTGTCAAGCTTCCTTTAATGATTGGACCTAGCTGTACTCTTGACTACCACCTGAATGCCTGACTTAATAGCCTCAGAAGTATAAATAAGAGCAGAATGGCACCAAAAGCCAAACAGTCCTGCTGGGGACCAGGTGCCATGGACCCCAGGACCCTAGGTGAGCCATGATCACTGTCTGTCCAGGGAGGACTGGGACAGATAGGGTATAGATTTGTTTGGGTGTCCACAGTGCTGGACTCAGTATTTATTCTGTGCCGGCAGCTACTGATTTTGCTCCCACTACCACAGAGCAAGAGGGTTTCTAATCCCTCTGTGGTAGTCCAAGCTGACCTTTAGTCCCACTAGAGGTACTGAAGGAGTCAGAAGTAGGCCTCTTTCCTCACACCTCAGTGAGCCAGGCTTTCTGAGACTGGACATAGATGGATATTAAGAACATAATCTCTTAGGTGAAGAATAGGTGGCAGAGAGTGAAAAGGCTCCCCAGGGTTCGGCTTTCTTCACTCGTGGTAGGAAGCAACATCCCTGTTTCTGAAGAATAGAAAGGGCAGTTTTCCTCTACCGTTACACACTGACTTCCTGTGACTAGGGTAAGGCTAAAATACAGATACTTTGCTAAGGGTGCCTCAGCTCCTAGATACCCTCACCTATCCTCCTTGCTGGTTGCACTGCAACCTGGCAGTCTATCCCCCACTCTCATAAAGATCCCTCTCACTTGTGGGGCCTTGTTACTGGCAGCCACTAGCTTCAGCTGCCATGCAGTCTGAATCACCCCTATCCCTAAAGGTTCTCCACATACACAGTTCATTGGGCTTAGTAGTTTTCTGGGGACCCTGGGAGGCTTTCCAGAAAGGAGTAAGTGTAGTGGAGCCCTAAAAAGGAACCTCTCAAGGAAAAGAAGAAAACTCATGAATCTGTGATACAGGAAAGAGATTCAGGCACTACTGCTGGGGAAACAAAATTGAATAATAAGAGCTAGCCTGCCACTCAGAGTCTGAATTTTGCCTGTGCAAGCTCCATAACAACAAAGAAAATAGGGCAGTGAGCCCATTCTTCTTGGTGCCTTCCTACCAAATTCCAGCTAGAAAGTGTTGGTTAAAAAGACCCTTCCAGACTGAGGGGTCAGAATAGGAGGGATAAAGACAAATAAACAGACCTCAGGATCCCTGAGGCAGGACCAGCATCCACTTTACAAAGAGCACACCTACTCTACTTCCAGATGCTGTTCTTGAAGCTTGGCCTGTTGGGTCTTCTTAGTCACATGGGACAGGGATGGGGCTTGTGTACTGCTTAACATTGTTTCTATTGCCCAGATTATTGGGACATGTACTGAGTGACTGCCTTTCTCTCATACTGAGATCTTTCAGGTGGAGTGCTCAATGACTGGTCTCGCATCACTATGAACCCCAAGGTGTTTAAGCTACATCCCCGCAGTGGGGAGCTGGAGGTACTGGTGGACGGCACCTACTTCATCTATAGTCAGGTAGAAGTGAGTACGGTCTCAGGCCTAACGCTTCTTATATCCAGTATGCAGACCTGGTTCAGACCACATGGGGGCACTGTGGAGCCAGCCAAAACCAGGCAATGACAAACTTCCTGCTTTGGCTGGTGAGGGGGTTGGGGACACCAACTGGGAGGGAATGCGGGGGAGCTGTTTCTTTCTTTTTCTTTCTTTTTTTCCCCTAGCCAACCAAATACTGAAAAATTGTGAAAAGAGCCCCTTTCCGTACCATGCTGATTCCCTGGTGCAGAGTCCCAGGCTTTTGTTTCCCCTTCTGAACTGTTTGTTTCTACTGCCAAACTTGAACTTGGTCTCAGAATAGTTTTTGAAAACCGGTTCCTGGGCTGCTGGGAATGCTTCCCCACAGCACTGCTAACTTGGGCATTAAAATGAATTGTACTCCTTTGGGCTTTCTTTCCACCTCAAAATGATTTCTGATTGCCTTTCCTTCCTCTTTCTCCCCTTTGTTTCTCTGTCTTTCTGTTTCTGTTATTATTGCCTCCTCCCTGCTATCATTCTCCCAGGACTTTCTCCCTTTGCCTTTGTCCTTTTCCTGCCCTGGACCCACTCCCCAGATCTGCTGTGTCCACCCAACTTTCATCCCTCATTGTTTGCCTCCACCGGGGATTTCCTCAGGGCTAGAGGTAGATGAGCCTTGAGGTTGGGTCTACTCTGGGGCAGGCAGCAAGCAGGTGGATGGACAGAAGGACTATGGAGCCAACAGATGGGTTTCACAGGAGAGTGGCCAAAGAAGGTGGGTTAACAGTCATTTGCTGGGCACACTGAGCATTCTAGCATAGCTTGGTCCTGACCAAGCTATGGACCTAAATATACTGCACCCACCTGAAGAGTTCATGGAGGGAGTCACTTTTCATGAAGTGATTTAGAGTACCAGATAAAGATCTCAACTCCTATGGGACACGTGGATATAACCCCAATGTCCTACAGACTAAGCTCCATTTAGTGGGAGAGAATCAAAGGTTAGGGTGGTGTGTGATGTCTAAGGGCAACAAAAGATGGAAAAACTAATTTTTGGACATAAGAGAAACTCAGAAGTCACCAACACAAGCTGGGAAAATCCTCATGACACCAAGCTGTTGACCATTGGTTCTTGCTTCTTACTGGCGTCCCAGTAAAATCAGGGGACTGAATTTTGCCCCTCCAATTTCCTTCTATATCATATATGGAAGGTGTTTTCCATCACTCTGGATCTGTTTCTTCAGGAGTCAAATGAGAAGTCAGAGGTGGTGTGACTCAGGGAGAGGGGTTCAGCTGTGGGCAGGGATGCTGGAAGCTGAGGGAGCTTCTGTTAAAGAGGACAGAAGTGGCAAGTCATTACTGAGATCTGTGACTTCTAAGTTTAGTCACAAATAGTCTATGAGGATTGAAATGGGAAGTTAGTTTGTGTCTGGAACACTGATTGAGCATCTGAGGTGTGCAGAACATTGCTTCATGCCAAAGCTAGGGTGATGGGGTGTGATGACAGGGCAAACAAGACAGTTTTTGTCCTCCCAGAGTTTGTGACAGGTATGCTGTTGTAAGAAAGGTTTGCTTAACCATCTGAGCTCCATGGAGTACAGGGAGGACAGTCTAGAAGCCTGTTACCCTGCTCTGATTGTTGGCCCTCTAGCATGCCTTCAGGTGGCACTGCCCCGGGTGGTATATTGGCACCTCATCAGAGAAGGTTCTGTCTAATCACCACAGGGAAGGGCCCCCAACCTCTCTTTCCTCTCTTCCCCAATCCCTTCTTGTTGCCTCTCACCCAGGTCTACTACATCAACTTCACTGACTTCGCCAGCTATGAGGTGGTGGTAGATGAGAAGCCCTTCCTGCAGTGCACCCGCAGCATCGAGACAGGCAAGACCAACTACAACACTTGTTATACTGCAGGAGTCTGCCTCCTCAAGGCACGGCAGAAGATCGCCGTGAAGATGGTGCATGCTGACATCTCCATCAACATGAGCAAGCACACCACATTCTTTGGGGCCATCAGGCTGGGCGAAGCCCCTGCATCCTAGATTCCTGCATTTTGCCCTTGCCCGTGCCCCTGCCCTAGGTTTGGGAGCCAGGACTCCCAGAACCTTTTAAGTGCTGCTGTGGATTGAGGTACATTGGCATTGCAGCCAGAGAGAAATGCCCCAGTGCTATTTATTCCCAAGTGATTCCATAATGACATGACAAGGCCTACTTGACTTTGCAGAATGACCTTGAGTTAACCGGAGAGTTGATGGAGCCCCAGGGTTTACAGGACGCACAACCTTCTCTGGCTCCACACTGGCTGAAGGCATGACTCTTCAACCCCAAGGTCCCTGTTGTCCTTTTTATCATTTATTGCACTAACTTGAGGATCCAGAGCATCAGGCCAGAGAAAGTGAAAGTGCACTCCAGACTCTGGGGGTGACCATCTGACCCCAAGGGGGCCGCAGCTTCTCTCTTGGCTAGGGCTGAGGATGGGGTGGCATTAGGTTGCAGCCTAAGGAGAGGACTGGGGTGAGGGGAGACAGATAATTGTGGCAGAGACCAGGGGAGAGCAGGTATCCTTGGCAGTGGAAGCATTCTTGCTTCTCTGCATTGTGAGCTGCAGGAGAATCAGAGAACTCTTCCCACTCAGGCTGAGAGCCACAAGTGACAGCTGTCTAGGTGCCAGAGTCAGGAGCTTTGCTCTCCCTCAGAACCATTCAAGAATGGTCACAACCCTGCCTGCATAAGAATCTGAATCTGCACTTGGGGCCTCATGTCTCTCACTTTGTTTACAGCTATGCTCTATGTTTAGAAAACTCCCTAGGGCCCCTTCCCAATCACCGCCTGACTACAACTCCTGTCTTCTTTCTACACAGAGCCTACCTCTGTCTGAGACAGGTGCTTAACCTGGGACCTGTGCTCACATGAGTCTGAAATATTCTTTAGCTTACCTGAACACAAGAGAATTTTCCATTTATTAAGCAATACAAGTATTATTCAGCTGATTTCAATTCAACTGTGTCTGGAGGGTAGGGGTTGGACTAGATGATCTTCAAAAATCTCTTCAAGGTCTAGTAAGAGGCACCTGCCATAATAACCTTCTAAATTCCCAAATCCTAGATCAGTGGTGGCAAACCTATGGCATGTGGGCCGCAGTAGGCTGTTTGTATCACTGAAAGCTCTAAGAGGTTCGCCGTCACTGCCCTAGACTATGGTTGGGCACCAGCAAAGCAGAGCTTTTCTACCTTGGCTGATAGGGCAAGAAGTAGGAATCAGTCAGGAGGTAGGTCTAAGTTTGCTGCAGCACTAGTGATCATGAAGCCAGGCCTTATCTGAGAGGGCAGCAGCTGGTGGTCTCCTGACCAAGTTTCTACAGAAAGCCATGGCAGAGCATCATCAGCAGATACCCATGCTGCTCCCTGAAGCCAGGCTTAGGAGCAGCCAGAGTCTAGGCATAGGCAGGGCTCTGCCCTCTAGTTCAGTGCAAAGATACCCTCCCCTAACCCAAAGCTTCCCACCTGGTCATATGCTAGGACCATTTAGGTGCCTTACCTGGGCACAACCTAGCTTCTGATGCTAGATCTGGCCCAAAGCTGGGATTGTCACCCTTGTACAGGTAGCTGAAATCTGCCAAGAACAATAGTCACTTCTTTCTTCCTTCTCTTTCTAAGCAACCACACTGGCCTTTCAAGGGTCAGGGCACAAGGTAGTGGGCCAGCCCTCCATTGTCTGATGGCTAATGACAGCCTTGCAATCCAAGGTGAGGTACACTCTAGGCACAACTCCTGTTAAGTGCCTTAGACAGTCCACAGTTGTAGCAGGAAATGACAAAACTGCTTCTTAAAGCTTGGAAAGTACTTTCTGTTATTTCCTTTGAGTAGGGCAGGACAGAGATATCTGATGCCATTGCTTAGGTGAGGCTCAGAAGGGTGAAGGGCTTTGACTGCCCTCTGTGTGTTTGTTAAGTCACAAACATGGGCTTCAGCCCAGGTCTGATACCAAAGTTGTTCCCTTACACCACACCACTGTGTGGCATTTGGGGTCAAGAGTGAACTAATCAAGGTGCTAATACAGACCTAACATTCTGAGGGTCCTAGGAAGAAAGCCAAAGATGCCCATTTTTATTACTTGATGGTAATACTGTTCTCAAGGCTGCCAGGTGCTCTGTGACAAAAGAATCAGATGTTTCTCTTCAAACAGCCATCAGCCTTACAGCTCTCATGTTCAGAAGGAAACCCTTGGCACTGTCCATGTAGTAGCACTCTGAGACCCACAGAACTGGTGGCCCTCATTTCTTTCACCCATCCAGTGAAACAAGCAGCTGTCACACGTGGGCAAATCCTTTCATTACCCTCCAGGCAGCTTCCAGTAGTCAGCTTACTTTCTACCAGTACAAAGTATGACTCCTTATCTCATTTTCCATCCCCCAGAAACCTTGATACTACCAGGATCTCTCAGGGATGGAGGGAAGACATAAGAGAGGACTGGTTCTAAGGCCAAATGGGCATGAGGAGAGAGGAGGAAAAGGCCTCCTAATTGTGCCCCTAAACACCCCAGAATGGTGGGAGTTGTAGGGGAAGTAGGGTTCCTGCTAGACCTCTCATTCATTCTGAACTCTTAAAAGGAACCCTAGTGGGAAAGGGATAGAGAAGGAAGCTAGGGAGCCCTGTTGAGGCAAAGGCATTGGTGAAGCAGTGAAGTGGTTTACTGATGGAAGACTGCGGACATAGCTTTATAGTTTGCAATTATGCTGATGTGAGTTTACGAGAGGGCCAAGGCTAGCATGGAGAATGGGACAAGAACATCTGTGGGTAAGCAAATGTCAGAGGTTTAAGGGAGAATTGCATGGCAGGGGCCTCTACCAGCTGCTTGGGCTTCAACAGCCAAGCTGGCACAAAAGGCAGCAGCTGTCTGAGGCTGCTGGGCTACTGGCTCCTTGGAAACTGTAGTGTTTGCTTTGTTTTCCCTTCATCTGTCCTGAGCCAAATTTCTTTTGCCTAAAGGAAAAGGCTAGGAACCTTGGAGGTGAACAAAGGCTTTGATCCATGTATTTTGTGTTATTTCCAGTGGATGCAAATAGATTCAGAGAAATTTAGAGTGAAAAAGCCCTTTAGAGGGAATATAGCCCAGCCTACATTGAACTCTGTTACTTAGGTAGAAACTGAGGCTCAGAGAGGGATGGTGACCTGCTCAAGGTAGTGAGCAAGCTCAGACCTCCAGACTCAGCAGCCGAAGGGAGGAGTAGAGCAGTCCTTGTCCCGCATAGCCCCTTCTTTCTTCCCTACACAGACTCAAGGCTAGAAGTGTTTGGCCCCCTTCAGGAGCCTGGCCAGGCAGGGAGAGCAGCTGCAGCCTTCATTAAAGCTCTGCTTCTTCCCAAGGCACTCACCTAGCTCTGCCTCTGGATTGGAAGGCTCTAAACTGGCCCACTGCCAGGAAGTCCTTAGGCTACCTTAGTGCTCCCTCAGGTCTCCTACTGACCCCAGGCCATGCTAGCATGAGGAAAGAACTGGTATTTCTTTTTAATCCATTTCAGGGCACTCTCCTGGCATGTGTCATATCTATTCAAAGAGCTTCCAGCTAGGATGGGGTGGGCTGAACTTGGTTGTGAGAATGGCCTGGAGCAGGCCCAATGCTGCTTTTGGGGGTCAGCATCTAGTGCGAGATACTGTGTATATAAACTATATATAATGTATATAAACTGGGATGTAAGTTTGTGTAAATTAATGGTTTATTCTTTGCAAATAAAGTGCTCCCATTCGTGAAATTGACTGGAATATTTCCTGCATTTTAGGTCCTCCTTTGTAAATGATGCCACACATAAGCTGGGGGAAGGACCAAGGCACCCATTCCAGAGGGAGCACTAGAAAGGAAAATAGTCTGCCAGGGATTGTGATGTATGCCTATGATCCTAGCACTCTGGGAAGCTGAGACAGGAGAATCACAAGTTTGAGCCCAGCCTGGTCAACTTAGTGACTTAGTGAAACCTTATCTCAAAAAGAAAGTGTTGGGACATAGCTCAGTACAAAGGCCCTGTGTTCAATCCCCTGCAGTGTGTGTATATCGGGGGGAGTCTGAATTTCCAGTCAGAGCATCCTACATCTTCTCTATGCCCTAGACCACAAGCCCTCATCCCTATCACCTTCAGTCTTCTCCTGGAACCATATGTCTGGGAGGCTAGATGTCATACCAAAAAGAATATTGTCCTGGAGCAGAGCCATAGCACGTGGACTTACCCTCAACTATGTCATCTATAACAGGTATTTCAGGCCTGGGGCCAAAACAGCTTGGAGGAATCCAGAATTCTAAAGTTATCATCTTATTTTGCAAATGAAGAGATAAGTGCTCAGAGATTTCAAGTAGCTCACCCCAGCCTATCCATCTAATGGCAGCCTGGTCAGTTCCTAGTACAGTACATTTTCTGTTCTACTGAGCTGCCTCCACCACTTAGTCCCATGCTCTGCTCTGCATGGAGAAGTCCTGTGGAGCCTATACTAAGGAAGAGGGTCATGGGAAGCTAACCAGAGAGCAGCTCAGACATCTCTGATGGGCATTTCTCACAACCCCACCAGCCTTTGTCCCCATTGTATAGGTGGAGAATGTGACACTTAAGCAATGTGCGCACAATAGCATGGGACAAATTTGCAATGGCCAGGTATGAATGGACTGGGTTTTGGAACCCAGGCTGGTCCTCCTGCTGCCTTAGAGTGAGATATTTTAAAAGGAAACCAGTCACAAGAATGCCAGAGACAAGTCTAAAAACACCTTAGGGTATAGCTTGTGTCTTTAGCATGCACAAGGTCCTGAGTTCCATCCCTAGCATCAGAAAACAGAAACACCTTATGGGAGCTCAGGGAAAATGTAATCTCTAGCTCAAGAAGCAACAGAAAAAGAAAAATAGAGATAACACTGTACAGCTCCCATGAGACAGGCACCCAGGGCAGAGGCAGAATGTCATGTCATGGTAAGTACACAGTATTTTCTAAACCAAACTGACAGGTAAACCATTGGACCGGATGGCATCCACCCAAGAGGGATGGAACAAGGGGCCCATGGGCCAAATTGTGTAACTTGTCATTACAACAGCTATTGGGCTAAGAATCTGAGAGACTCAGTAGTCAGAAGGAGAGTTATTTATGGCTGCTGGATGCCAGGTACTTCATCTGACTCAGAGGACAGAGACAGGGCCAGGCAAGTGCTGGCCTTGCTGGAGAAAAGACCAGCAAATAAGGCCTGTGCCTGTTGCAGCCCCTAGCCTTATGAGGTTGAACCCTGAGAGTGGACTAAGGGCTGGCAAGGGGGTATGATTACTTAAACTTTAAACACAAGATCCTACACTGTAAAATTTCCTTTAAAAACTGAAATGCCATGAAACTTAGGACCCTGTTTGCTCAGGGATGGGAAATGAGTAAAAATGGTCAGAAGAGAATAATTTTGTGTAGCTCCCTAATTTACAAAATTTAGTCACATCCAATATCATTTGATCTCAACAGCCTTTGAGGTAAGCAGGAGAGGGATTATTAGTCCCCTTTTACAGATGAGGAAACAGCCTCAGAGGTAGGTGACTGCCCCAAAGTCACATGACTTGAAGGTGGTAGAGCCTGAACTCAGAGCCCACTAGCTCTCAAGGCATCTGATCCTGGAAGAGTCTCCTTGCCAGGACATGGGGCTGTTGGAGAGCTAGAGAAAGAAGATATGTGTGGGGACCCTACAGCCCCCCAAACAGACTAGTTGGGACACAGTATCAGAAGGTGGCATTTTATTCTGTCCACTGGTTTCCTCAATTTTGGTGCCCCCATGAAGGAGCCTTCAGGACACCTCTCCCCTAGGACCTCTTAGGGTCATATCCCCAAGGAAAAGGTAAGAGCTAAGAGAAAGAAGTGGAAAAAATGGGTACCAAAAAAAGCAGATGGACAGCCCCCCCACCCTGTAATGAAGACTGGTCATATTAGGAGTGGAAGCCCAAACGGAACTTGTCCTCCTATTTCTACCAGTTCTTCACCTTCCAGCAAGGCTGTGAGGCTGCTGGGGATGAGTGTCAAATTATCTCCAGCTCCTGGGTCTCTGAGATTCCAAATTTGGTCTTATGCTTGTCAAACAGTTTACGTAGGGCATCAATATAGAGTTCGTGGTACTTAGTCACATCTGCCTGGCTTGGGTTCTCAATCTTGGGCAGTGATAGAGGCTCCCCGTCTGCCAGGGAAGACAGAGAAGGAAAAAGGAAAAGCATCAGTGTAGCTCACTGCTCAGAATGGGCTCCAGGCCTCAAGCCCACCTTCTCCCCACCCTCATCCCCAACCTGTCACTCATCTTAGCCAGCCTCCCTGCCTCTGAGCGCAGCCTCCGAACAGGATCCTGGATCCTAGACCAAGACTGCCAGCAGAAGGGCTCACTCACCAATGGTGGTTATAGACTGAGCCTAGGGCAGAAAGCCCCGGGAGTTCTCGGTGAAGCCACGCCCATAGAAAGCACAAGGGTAGATGTGTACTAGACTCTGGAACCACTTCTGGAAGCAGTTGACCAATCCCCCAGGACTGAAAATGTGCTGATTGTAGAGTTCTGTCTCCCCAAAGGAATAGGCAGGGATTAGAGCCACCCTGCAGAGGAAAAGTATGTCATTTAATGCCCAGAAAGATAAAGACCCTGCTGAATGCCAGATATCCTGACCACCAGTGGTCTCTGGGTCAACTCCCAGGCTCCCCAGACCCCAGCCCAGCTGTGCCTAGGTCCTGGTTGTGGAGGGGGTCTGTGGCCTAGCCCAGGCTGCCTGTGGGGACAAAGCAGTAGCAACCGAAAGGAAGCAAGCCCAGAAACTCCTGGGAGTCCCCCGGCATGAATTACTGTATGATAAGACCCAAGGGCTATTTCACATGACTTCCCTTTACCCCACATGCGTCATGTCTCTGAACCGGAGTTGTAGCCAGTCCCTTTGTATAGAGGAACTGGCCCAGATTGGAGAGAGAGGACACTGAAGGTTGGCCCTCAACCCTTTCTTCAGGAGCAAAAAATGCCTCTAGGACCTGGCCCTGGTTCTACTCCAACCCAGAGCTGGCTTTCCTCCCCTTCTTTTTTCTTTTAATTATTTTAAATTGATAAATAACAATTGTATATGTTTATGATGGATCTAGTTCATCATAATGAATCATATACTTCCTCCTTGGATACTATTTCTTCAGAACTCCTCCCTCACTCACCACTGGGCTTTTGGATCCTCTACCACCCTGCCTTTTGACCAGAGTTGTCCTTACCCGTGCCGAAGGGCCATGCGCACAAAGTCGAATTGGTTTTTCAAGACCAGGGTGGAAGACCCTGGCAGGCTGTATCTGCACTCAGCCAGGCCACCAACCACCACAATGAGCATGTTTCCTTTGCCTTTATGGGTAAGCAGAAAGTCCATGGAGGATTGGCTCACAGAGCAGATCCCTGGTGGGCAGAAAAAGCCAAGAGGTCACTGGCCACTTCCCAATCTTCCTAACTTTCCTCCCTCAATCTTTCCCTCTTCAAAGGTGGGGGAGAGCAAGGAGCCCCATCTCAGGGAGGTGAGCCGAGGGCAGCCAGAGAGGATTACAGAGCTGGCCTTGCTGTCACCCATCCTCCCAACTTTGAGCCCACTCACCTGCAGACATTACATAGTCTCTCAAGAAAGGCAACCAGAAAAAGGCTCCTAGTGTGAGCGTATAGGAGGTGATGCCAGGAAAGATCTTGGAGAAGCCCGTGGCTTCAGTGGCAAAATTGCCAAAGCATGCATGAGACATGAGCCCATGAGGGTGGCAAACAAGGATGTAGTTGTGGCTGGGGGAGATATCACGAGTCTTCAAAAGCTGTAGAGGAAAGTGGAGTGAGGGGGTGCTATAGCCAGGGAAGTGATCTCCTCTTTAGGCCAGAGATCTGGAAGGGAAAGGGCTTCTGGGTCCCACTATTCGGGTTGGGTAATGTAAAACTCTCAGGGGGGAGTCACTCTCACAGGCCTCCATGACCCAACTGCTGGCACCAGAATCGGGGCTGAGCTACTCACCTTGTTAGGGAAGTAATTGCAGTAGTGTCTCCACAGTCTCCACTGCCTTACACAGTTGAATCGGCGGCCACCTGTAAGCAGCACAATGCAACCAAGATGTGTTCAGCCCCACTGTCCTCTGCCAGGCCTTCTGGAACGCCACAGGGTGCTCTCACCTTTTGCTCTTTCCTGGCCTCGCAAGTAACGAACAGCATGAGCATGTCCAGGGCAATTTATAACAAGTTAAGTTCTGCTTCATTAGTTGCCCCTCCCCTAGCCCACTCCCATTCAGATTGGGTGGCCTTTCCAACACCCTCAAAGGACCATTTCCCTCAGCTCTAGCCCAGGGAGGGACAGACTGAGAGTCTTCTGGGAATTGGCCAGAGCCTCTCACAATCAAAAGGTGAGAAAAGGGAAGAGCAGGTAGCAGGTGGCAACCCAGCCCAGTAGGGCCCTTACCTCGCTCAGGGGTCTTCCAGTCAAAAGCCAGCCAGATGCAAATGAACACAGTGACAAGCCAGTATGATGTGAACGCCAGTAGGTAGAGGTTGCCAAGGATCACCATGGTTACTAGAGGGAGCCCAGCCCAGAGTGAATGGATTGTGGACAGCCCAGCACACTGACCCTCTCTCCCAAGTTTCCCGAGTTCTGCCATCCCATGGTCACACATGGTCTCACCCAAGACTGCTCACTGCTCTCTCTTCCTCACCATGGCACATGGCCCACATGCCCATATCCCAGCCACCCTCTGTTCTCTGGCCTTGGGACCCTGACTTGGATCTAGAAGGCAAGGTGTTTTCTTCCCTGGCTGTGCTTCTCACAGTGAGCCCTCTACCCTCAGGACCTGCCCTAGCAACTTGCTAAGTTCTGAATGAATGAAGGGTGTTTAATGGCCGGGGGCCACTGGTGACCACCAGAGTCCAAGAGTCCTCAGACAGCTTTCTTCCAACTCATTTCTCCTCTCTGCATCTGCTTGTGAAGATCAATGAAGGAGATTTAAGAGAAAGTGGAGATCTACCTGCAACAAGGTTGAGAGTGCAAAGAAGGCACGCAAGAAACAAAGGACAATATAAACTGAACTAGAAAAAGACACTGGGCCACATTAAGCTCCAATAAAATAAGAATTCTACAGATTACAATATTAGGAAAGTTACTAGAGATGAGTCATGAGGAATCAAGTTTACTTGGAATTATTACTGGACTCAATTTTTAAAGCAGCCGTGAATAAAATTGTGTCAAAATAAAGTTTAGAGAAGACAAAAGCAACTTTTAATTGAACATACCAGATTGATCACAAGTTTTTTTCTTGACTCATTGCTGGAGCCCCATGAAAACTTGCTAAAAATGTTTTTAAAAATACAGATCCATAAGGAGAAAGAAAATAAGGTGCCAACAGTAGATGTGAGATAGCAAAATATTTACATGCTCTAAAGTGAAGAAGTAACTGGTTTAGAACAAAGAAAGCTGAAATGTAGTTACCTGTAAGGATACCTGCCTACAAGAAGCAAGCCTTTTCTTCCTATTTCACATTATCTGTTATACCTTTTAGTCCTTATTTACACTTTCAGTTTCTCACACTAGAGAAACTATTCCGTATTTACACATGTGTGTCCTATTTATTTCACTTAAGAGTATTGCCTCAATGTGCATTCATTTAGCTATAAATGTCCCTAGTTTCTCATTTTTTATGGCTGAGTAGTACTCCATTTTATTTTTAAAAAACACGTTTTCTTTATCCAGTCTCCAGTTGATGGGCAATTGGGCTGCTTCCAAGCAATTACAAACTGTGCTGCTATGAACATGGATGCACATATATCACTGTGGTATGATTCTTTTAATTCTTTGGGGAAGATACCCAGCAGGGGAATAGCTGGGTCAAATGGGACTTCCAGTCCTAGTTCTTTGAGGTATCTCCATACTGATTTCCACAGTGGTTGCACCAGTCTACACTCCCACCAGCAGTGGAGCAGGGTTCCTCTTTCCCCACAGCCCCACCAGCATTGGTTGTTGGTTGATTTCGTGATAGCAGCCATTCTTTCTGGGGTGAGGTGGACTCTCAGCCTTGTTTTCATTTGCATCTCTCGAATGACCAGTGATGTTGAACATTTTTTCATATGTTTATTTGCTATTTCTACTTCTTTGTCTGAGAAATATCTGTTCATTTCAGATGCCCATTTTCAGATTGGGTCTTTAAATTTGGGAGGTCTGATTTTTTAAAGTTCTTTATAGATTCTAGATAGTAGATCTTTGAGGAACAGCAGGTGAAAACTTTTTCCCACATTGTGGGTTGTCTCTTCACACTGCTGGTGGTTTCTCTTGCTGTGCAGAAGCTTTTCAATAAGAAGAGATCCCCCTTGTTGATTGTGCTAGTTCATGGGCAACTGAGGTTTTGTTCATAAAATCTTTTCCTACACCAATGTCTTCAAGAGTTCTACCTAACCTCTGTTCCAGCCGGTTCAGCATTTCTATTTTAATATTTAGATCTTTAATCTATTTTAATTTTAGTTTAGTGCATGGTGAGAGATATAGATCTAGTTTTAATCTTTGGCAAGTTGAAACCCAATTTTTCCAGCACCATTTATTAAAGAGGCTATCTTTCCTCCAGTGAGGGTGTTTGCCTCCTTTTTCAAAGATTAGGTGGCTGAGTGTGTCTGGAGTTGTTTTTATATCTTCTAATCTCTTCCACTGGTCCTCAACTGTGTTTCTTTGCCAGTACCATGCTGTTTTTTTCACAGTAGCGTTGTAGTATAGTGTCGAGTTGGGGGTTGTGATACCCCCTGCCATGTCTCTGTTGCCTAGAATTGCTTTTGCAAGGACTAAACAGTATAATAGATAATGTGAAATAGGAAGAAAAGGGGAAGAGGAAGTGGGAGGGGGAGGGGAAAGGAAAGAAGGGAATGGAATTAATGTGAGAAAATGAAAAACTGGAAACAAAATCTTTGTAACTAGGGAGGGACTGAGGGGTTGTAGGGAGGGCAGGGGAATGGGAAAAAAATAAGAACCAAGAGAGATTATGTAAAGGTGCAAATTTCCAATGATGAATGTCATTATATTGTATACGTAAAATGTACCAATAAAATTAATAAAATAAAATTTTCATGTCTTAACTTTTAAATTAAAAACTTTTGCTGGTTCTACAAGATTAAAAGAATGATGGAAACTTCAAAAAGAAAAGAAGCAAGCCTGCTTGCACTGGAAAATCAAGAAAAGATTTGGAATGTGGAGAGAGCAGGTGTCACAAAAGGCAAGGACAATGCACAGGCTCAAAAGTCGGAGGATTAGTTGAATTTCTGCCAAGGAATTAGAAACCCAGGTTCCCTCTCCTCCTTTAAACTACTGGTCAATGGGATGATTATTCTCTGAAGTAACTGAACCAAAGAGATCCTAGGTTCAAATACAAATGGTCCCCAACTTATGACAGTTCGACCTATGGTATTTCAACTTTATGACAGTGCAGCAGTGATATGCATTCAATGGAAATCATACTTCAGATTTTGCATTTGGATCTTTTCCTGGGCTACCGATATGCAGTACCATCCTCCCTCACATGCTAGGCAAGAAAAAGGAAGGCATGGGGTACAGGAAAAAAGGGGTCTGATAAAAAAGGAAACTGAGCAAGACCAAGGCTAGGAGAAGTGAGCAAGGCCCCTAGGACAAAAGAATTTGAGGAAACACTCACTCTTGAAGATGTGCAACTACAAGGCTGACATTTGCATATCTCTGAGTATAAACATATTTTTTAATTCTGTACCAAGTTTTCTCAAGTCCCTTGGAAGTGACAGCTTTGCATGAAGCCACACTGTGTCAGGAAGATGCTGGGTTCCAGCTGCGATGTCCTCATGGAAATAAGAGTAAGGAGACTTATAGATTCCTGATGTGTTTGGACACTTGGAGAGATTAATTTGTCTGTGAAGAGTCTGGGATAAATTAGTGATAACTAATAGATATCTAATAGATAAAATAAATTTAAAATGTGTTAATTTCTAACAACAGGAAAAATAGGTCACACAAAAAAGGAAATTTAATCCTAGTACACTAAATGGCTCAGTTGTCAATAATATTCTCTACTCATAGTCAGGTATTTAACTAAAATCTGTCCTATAACAAATTTGGGAGGAGGGAGAGGAGGAAATTATATCAATATTGTGTAGAGTCAAATTTTCATCTTCCATATCAGAAAGTCAATGGACAATGTCTAAAATTGCTGTATCAAAAAATAGTAATATTTAGAAATTCCAAATAGTAAAATTTAGAAATATGGAAGTAAATAGCAGACAAAAAGAACTAAAAAAATTGAAAATGACTGACTACCTCTGGGAAAAATAACTAAGGACAGAGCAAAGGAATGCAGTTGTGGGTTCTCAGTATGGGCCCAATAAAGTTATTGAGGTTTTTTTTTTTTTGGTACTGGGGATCGAACTCAGGACCTTGCACTTGCAAGTCAGGCAGTGGAACCACTGAGCTAAATCCCATCCCTAAAGCTATTGACTTTGAGGATTAAAGAGAGGCACTAATCTAGTCCAGAGGGTACCTCCCACTTTCCCTTAGGCTTTGCTCAAACCCAGTGTTAGGACATCTTGTAAGTATGGTCCTAGGTGGCACACCCTGCCATGGGATGAGCCCTGTATCTACAATTTACCATGTGTGTGATCAAAGACATTGACAAACTTCAGTTCCTCATCTCTAAAATGGAAATTAAAATATCAATGTCTTCCCTATCTTCTTTACAGACTTGTTTTGATGGCCTTCTCTCAAGGCCTTTACAGTCCAAATAAATACAATTCCACTTTAGAGTGGACAGCTGAGGAGGGGCACAGAGCCATTTGCCCCACCTGCCCTACATGAGCTGGGAAGGGAGGAGACAGCCCTGGAGCCCACATATGCCCCAGGGCCTAGAGCTCTTCTTCCTGCCCCATACTGCCTCTCAGTACACCCCAGAGCCAGGCCCTAATTAAAAATCCTCTGGACCAGGCATAGTGGTGCACACCTGCAATCCCCACACTCTGAGGGTTTGAGGCAGGAGGATCACAAGTTCAAGCCCAGCCTGGAAAACTTAGCAAGACTCTGTCTAAAAATAAAAAATAGCTAGGGATGTATCTCAGAACAACAAAGGCTCAGATTTGATCCCCAGAAACAAAACAAACAAAAAAAGTCCTCTGGTACAGTTTTTTCTCTGTACTCATGCCCCTTTCAACCACTCTCCTTCTTAACATCGTCTGCTCCTCCGCCCACCCCCCAGCTCACCCTGGGGACCAGAACCCTCAGTCTTTGTTGTTGTTGTTTGGGTTTTGGGGTTTTTTTTTGAGACAGGGTCTCGCTATGTAGCTCAGGCTGTCCTTGAACTCGCTCTGTAGCCTAGGCTGGCCTCGAACTCACAGCAATCCTCCTGCCTCAGCCTCCTGAGTGCTAGGATTACAGGCGTGCACCACCACGCCTGACTGAACCCTCTGTCATGCTTTCTTTTTTTTCTCTCACTGGCATCTTCTGATCATCAAGTCATATTACTTCTCCAGTTCTTGAATCTTTCTTTTCCTCTCCATCCCCATCACTACTGGCCTGACCCAAATCACCACCATCTCTCAAACTCCTACCCAGCATTGCTGCTCCACTCCAGTCTTCCTATAATCCTTTTGCTGCATAGAGCTCTAACAAGCTCTCAGAAATGCAAATCTTATGCCATCACCCTGGGCCATATCCTATCCTGGCTCCACAAGGTCCTTAGAGAAAAGTTCAAACATCTTTCCTGGGTTTTTAATGCCTCATACAGTCTTTCCCCTGCCTTCCTCCTCATTCTTCTGTTTCTTCCCTATTTGATTATTTTAATAATATGTATCAGGTGCCAATTCCGTGCCTTCCATTTCCCATGTTACGTAGCCACTAGCAGCCCCTGCACTGCCCAAGGCTCTCCCCCCAACCTAGCCTGGTCATGTGCTTCCCACTGTTTGCCTGCAATGCCCACCCTTTCTTCACTTATTTGTCATTCAAGAAGCAGCTCAAATTCAATAGAAAAATGGACATAGGTCACAGATGGGCAGTTAACAGAGAAAAAAATACTAACTGGTGATGAACATACAAAAAGATGTTCAACCTCATTCATAACTAAGGAAGTTCAAAGTAAGGACTTGATTCATTTTTATCACTTCCAATTCTTGCTTTCCTTCCTGTGCTTTGTTAGGCCCCGAAACTACATTTTTCAGCATCACAATTTGGTAGTGCCTCTGTCAGCCTGAGCATTTATTGTCCACTGTGAGCAGAGACTGCCACTGACCTGTTGTGGTCTTCTACATGAATAAGAAATAAACATTTGCTGACTTAAGCCACTTAAATTTCAGGGCTAATGTATTCTCAAAGTATACCTAGACTAATCTGGTTAGTGTACCCTAAATACACCTACTTTACAAAGGAGGGAAACAAGACTCAGAGAGGATAAATAATTTGCTAAAGGTTGCACAGATTTGAACACAGGCAATCTGGAACCAGAGAGTGTATTTTCAACATTCATATTATACTGCCTCTTGGAGATATATATATATATATATATATATATATCACATGTCACATATCACATATCACAT